TGGATTACACTGAATTCTTTTAATGGCGGATGCCTCATTTCCAGCTGCCACAAAGTCGCAGACCTGGTGTGACAACACTTTCTCGATGGATTCGCTGCAACTGGTACATCCGGTCTTAGTTAATATGTCTGGTGATAGCACCACAGGAAGCCGGCTCTCACAAGGCAGATGTCTAAAATCCAGAGGCGAAGTTGTGCACAAGCCAGCTTTGGGCACAGGCAGAGGGGATCGGGTTGCCGAGAGCTCGCCAGCAAGCTGCAAAGGGCCCCGGAAAACAGACTTACCATTCACTGACTGATCGAGATCACGTGCACTTGGATATCTGAATCCTGAATCCGAGGCTGTGATGACAGGATGGCTGCTTGCTAGTTGATTGTCTGCATTGGCTGGTTGAAGGATCTCGTTATTGTATCCAATGCCATCCGCAAAGCCAGACTGCTGGCTGGCTGAGCCTGTGGGCGTGGCGAAGCTGAGTGAAGTGACGGGAGTGACGGAGACTAAACTGTCTGTGCCAGTATCGGAGTCGGAGCGACTAGCAAGGAGGAAGCTACTTTTGCTGTTGCCTTATAAAGGAAAATAACGTAAATCAACATGAGATAAGGCTTCTTCAATGAGAAGAAAGTAGAATGCATTTTATACAAAATAATCTGATGGTTGGTAATTCGTTAAAGCTTGTTACACCATCGTTTGGATTTAGCCAATTTAATGTAGAGTACTCAGATCATTCAAACGCAAATTTTACTCGTGAATTTGACAGATTAAATGGACAGACAATACCCGTGGTCAAATAAATTAGTTTCTGTGTGAAGGGATTGATAGACAATAAGCTCAGATGCATAAATTAAGTCATGTAAGGCTAAAAGAACTAGCCTACATAAATTTAACTATGAAAGAGCACAATTGTTTTTCTCTTATAACGTGAAGGTTATAAGGAAAATGATTATAAAGAAGAAAGTCAAAGCTTGTATTTGGACTTTCGACAGTCCTAATTTCATTTGACGGGCCTTCATTCTTTGGAAAAGACAACCTGCTTGTGCCGGTAGATCAGCAAATTAAGGCGTGTTGAAGATTGATGAACGATGGGTCTGAAGCATTTACTGGACACTAACAAAATCTATTGCAAAAGGTATAGAAGGGAAGGCTTTTTTGGTTCGCAAGTGGTCCTAAACGCATTTAAAGTTTGTGCCCGACAAACGGATTTGACGAAATAACTTTTATCCGGCTTTTGGTTAACCAACCCTTTCATGTCCACATGAAGTTGTGCATGTTTTCCAAATCAGGCTATTAGATGGACTCCACATAAGTATAACTATAGTTCTATGAGTGAACAACGAGTTATAAATTACTCTTTACAGGATTAGGAGTACAAGCTGTTTGTAGAAATAAAGCTATGCTGTTTCTGGATGCCGACTTTCAATTCGCACACTTTGCTGATGCATATCAAATAGCATGATTTATACCATTCGCCAGTAGGTCTAGCTCTCGTCAACATTACTCTTTCTCACTTCATAGTTAACACTTTCGAGCAGCTGAGAGATTTAAATATTTTTACCTAACGACCAAGCAGTGCTATATCAAATGAAGAGTGAATGTCTCAAAATGAAAGGACTAGGCCCCACGGAGCCAGTACATTTTACTTTTCTCCAAAGAGGAGTTCTCGTCCAGAATGGGCTACAGTTCTGCGCTCTCAGAGGTTGCCACAGCTTTTCCAATGGGATTTTAAGCCCGGTTGTGCCTAAAGTGGTGACACGTTACCATTCCGCTACACAGGCGCTGGTATTGGTAGTTCACAGGACAAGTATGATTGACATGGCAAGCTAGGGCCCTCTAAAATCACATTTCTAATGGGAAGTGTTGGAAAGGTACACTTGTATTTGCCATTAGAATATATTAAATTACCAAAAGAAACTGGGTTTCAATGAATCTCTTAAGATAACGTTGTTGGGGGTCTTTCATTTCATATGAAAGTGCATGAAGAAGAGATTCGTAGGTCGATCTCACCAGAAGAAGACGGAAGAATCCCGTT